TATAATTGGCGTGTCTTACAAATGGGATGTCTAACTTATGAGAGCAAAAGCATACATGGAATAAATTTGCAGGTGTTTAAAGCAGCGAACAGGCAATTGGAGACCCCCTTCTTCATCTCGGTTAAATGTGTGTTTAGCAATAATAAATCCTAAATAAAAAACCCAACTTGCTTATATATACAGGATGTACAGGAGGACTGTAACAGTCACAATGGATTGACATGAGAGTGACGATGAGAGCTATCGGGGTAGGTTTGTATGTTGAGGTACAATATCTTCTTATAAGTTTTCATTACTATCAATGCATCCCACTAATATATAACATTCATGATAACAGCACTCCACGTCCAGCTCGTTAAACAACACAATAAAAATACAATTATTATAATAGACTCACTCAGCGGGCCCCAGCCGTTAAAACACCAAAATAACCAATCTAAACAAATAAATGAAATACTAAAAAGCACCAAGAATCTGCACGCCTCAGGTAAAAAGGTTACTCCCTAAAACCTCGGGCGAAAAAAAAAGCCGCGACGGTAAGAACAAATTAATTGATCACAAAATATTAAAACGAAACGTGCGAACCTGGGTAGGTACACCTCGCAAGTGTGGGGTTGCCCACGATAGAATTTATTCAACAATGAATACTATGACGACATACCGAGTGTCACATAGAATAAAATCACAGTTTAGATGCTTTTTCCCTTCATGAGTGGTGACGTGTGACGTCCTGGGCAGGAAGTGACAGTGTATTGACTTCTTTCCTTAATTACCCAGTTGGGGCTCCCTAATTAACCTTTATTTGTTCTGAAGCAGCATAGACTATTTATTTTATTTGGAAGTGGTTATTGGCGAATGTCAGTAGGATTGAAAAGACATATTTCAATACAGTTAAAGCTCTCACAATACTGTTTATGTTACAAGAATTACAAATGAAAAGTAACATTTCATATTCAACAATTTCTTAATTTTGACTGTTCCGACGTGTATGTTTTGATATTATCTGTGCGTACAAGCCATATTTCCAATTGCACTGAGTTATTTCGCATGTTGTACGTTAACAAATTAATAAATAAGCTACTGTACTGAGGTTTATCTTGCTGTGATTTCTGTTTCATGAATCAATGTATCATTGAAGCAGTATGTCAGATACAGTTTCCAACACAAGGTAGTACCTTTGTGTTGTTCTGTGAAGCCATATCACATAAAAATGATAGAACTCTGGATCATTCGCAGATTGTTGCGAAGCGGCATTTTTGACATTTTTAGTCATCACTCGATCCTGAACTGGGTCACCAGTGTTATGCATCTGTATTCTCAAATCATCTACTATACAATATCACGTCATACTGTAGTTAGATATGTTGTTTCATGGCATTACTTCTAATGTTTTAAGTGCCTACTGACTACATATGATGATGATTATGAGTTTAACGTCGGCTTCTGGCTGTAGCCAATGTCGCCGACGGGGTAGGTGGGAGCAAAAGTAATAATTAATATGTTTATAATAAGGGATAAACCACCATACCCACAAAATGTAAATGATGGGGTGTTAACCTGAGTGAAGTTTGAATGAAAACAGCTACAAACATGATAATAAATAAAAAGCCGCGATTATGAAGGGAAAAGAAAAAATAATGTAGTTTGATGTAATTAGATGAGATGAGATGAGACATAGAGCTAAACTGATAGATATAAAGTGGGGCTTGTTAGGGTGTGTGTGTGTGTGTGTGGGTGCTTGTTTTTTTGGAAACTTTGAAGCTGTTTATAATTAAATAATGGGTAAAGAAAGAAAAAGGGGTTAAACTGGGGTGGGGTGAGGGGGTGGTATGGGAACATTGAAGGGGTCAAGGCAGGCTGAGAGAGTGTAGTAATTGAGAGGCAGTAGTAAGCTTGGTTGAGTGGCCTTGACTGAGGGGCTATGGGCGGCCTTGACCGTGGAGTTTGTTATGGTTGGTGTTTGAGAGGTGGCGGGGGTGGGTGGTGGCTGGGCGCGCGGACCTCGGAGGAGACAGTAGTTGTTGGGAGGTAGAGTTGGTGTGAAATAATGAAGGAACAGAGAGGCACGCGGACCTCTGAGAAGACAGGTGGTTGGAGAGAGAGGTGAAGTTATAGTTGGCTTGAACGTGAGCAGAAAGAGGATTGAGATTGCTAGGTTGAGAGGTGGGCGTGGACGTCGGAGAGGACAGTCACGCACATATGGTGAATTTGGAGTGACTACATACCTATCCGTGAAACAATTAAGTAATAAAAACAATAGGCGAGAGCTTTCAATACAACTGATAGTTCATGACAGGTAATTAATGACAGATGGTCGGATTGGGGTGTGCTGATAGTTATAGCCCGGGAAAGCCACTTTTAAGAAAACAAGAGTTGAAAATGGTTTGGCTCAACCGGCAATGGGTATGGTTGAGGGATCGTGTGAATGTGGGTCTTCCGGCAATGCGCTATTAGCTAATCCATGTTACCGTAAATAATGCAGATTTTTTTAATATCGCTCTAAATTAGCCAAATTAAGTCAAAAGGAATTGAAATTTGTGTCATGATGCTTATAAACATACGCTCATTCATTTACAACCTCAAAAACATGGAAAAACATGTATTTTGAGTAAAAGTAAATATTCTCGCCCATGGGCCAACATATATTTCGCCCATGGGCGAGATATTGTAATATAGCTCTAAATTAGCCAAATTTGGTCAAAATAAGTTGAACTTTGTTTCATGATACCAACAAGTATACATTCATTCATTTACAATTTCCAAAACATGGAAAAACATGTATTTTGAGTAAAAGTAAATATTCTCGCCCATGGGCCAACATATTTTTCGCCCATGGGCGAGATTTTTAATATCGCTCTAAGTTAAAGTACTGTCGGAAATGCTAGAAAAATGCTTTTTAGCCATAATATCTTTAGAAAGGTGATCAATCTACTATGTTGTCAATATATCAACTCGCCTTTAGTGTACCTAATTTTTATTTCAATTGATTTAACATTCCCATGCATTTAAAGGGCAGTTTACAGGAGAGAATTTGGTACCAAAACAACAACTTAAAATTTGTTCAACAACAGAAATCTGAAATAGTCTTTACATTTATGCTAATAATACAGGTGGTGTAAAAATATAAATTAACGTTTTTCTTAAACAAATAAATGTTGAATGTTTGTGTTACTTTACTTAATTATCGTTTCTTTATTGAAGAAATATTAATATAAATGTTAAGTCTTGATAAATATGTTTCCCGTCATGCATGCACATCTTTATCACAGCGTCAACTATGGCCAACTATTTGCAGTCGATTGTTGCAAAGGTTTATAAGTTTTTCTGTGCTTGAGAAAGACAGAGGTAAACCTTTCATTAGTTTAGAAAGGGTTTATTACAGAACTTGTAGAGCTGTTGGTATGTCTTACCAACAAGTTTACAATACTGTAAACAAATCAGACAAGACAGGGACCGTCTCAAAAGCAAAGCCGGGACGTAAAACCATCCTTGACAACTTTGACAAGGGAGTACTTAGACGGGCGGTCTACAAACTTTATGAGAAGAAGAATATATATATGCTAAAGAAGCTACACCAGTGACTTCGTTAAATCTTTGGCCAATGTTCACAACTAGATTAAACTGACCGAATTACATCCATATTTTTGCAATGAAATATACTGTTGACATGCAAAACATTTATTAAAACGTTGCACATTTCTACAATCAATCGATAAGATAACACAAGTGACAGGATTCTTTCAAATGTACATTAATTCGTATGTTTATTTCAAAACAAACACATACACAGATGATCCCTTACATAACCAATACGTATACAATACGTACACATATTCAACATTTTGAAGAAAACATCTATTGAGATGACCCCTCTCCCGAACGTGTGTGCTCAGGTGTCAATTTCACCTGTCGATACCTTGCATGCTGATGACGTAACACAGGCAGTTAATGTTTATATCAAATAACGTCCCACTACCCCTTATTTTTCTAAGTTTTTGGTATTTTCATCAGTAAAAACACATTTTAGGGCATGTCTCAACATTTATTTCCTCGGTCTACATTAGGTAGATGCTTCTTAAAGTGATATTTGTTATTTAAGTAACTGTAATACCTCTGAATTTTCAATATAAGTCAAAAAGCATTTTTCTAGCATTTCCGACAGTACTTTAGTTGCAATTTGTGTCATGATGCTTATAAACATACACTCATTCATTTACAACCTCCAAAACATGAATTCTGATCGAAATTAAACATTCTCGACCAAGGGCCAACATATCTTTCGCCCATGGGCGAGATTTATTAATATCTCCCTATGTTAGTCGAATTAAGTGAAAAAGAGTTGAATTTGTTTCATGATACTGACTCATTCATTTACAACCTCCAAAACATGAATTCTGATCGAAATTAAACATTCTCGCCCATGGGCCAACATATTTTTCGCCCATGGGCGAGATTTTTAATATCGCCCTATGTTAGTCGAATTAAGTCAAAATGAGTTGAATTTTGTGTCATAATGCTTATAAACATACACTCATTCATTTACAACCTCCAAAACATGAATTCTGAGCAAAATTAAACATTCTCTCCCATGGGCCACTGTTCGAGTTTAAATATAAAGTTTTCAAAAAAGTTTGTTTTCATTTTTTCATCCTTGGCTTATTTTCATAACAACTGAATGTTTAATTTGGTCAAATCCCTTGTCAGAAAGTGCCCACAGTGCGGAGAGTTTCTGGACTTTTGTGAGTCCAGAATTAAATTGTGACGTGTTAAAAACTTTTATGAATCAAATCGTTTTGATGTAATAATGAATTGATGGACTGACCGTAGAATATCCATATTCGTCTGATGTGATACTGAGTTATTACCATTTAGCACACCCCGAAGGGAGAAACCTTTTACATAGAAATAAAATTCGTATCTAGTAGTAGTAGCTGTCGTAGTTGTCGCCGGCACTAAACTTTTGACCCAGACTGACCTACAATTGCTCACCTGTGGTACGTTGCTGAACGCTTCACTAGCGGTCATCTTCGCGATGCCATCCTTATCCGGTAGAACGATCTACAACATGGAAATGAATGTAATACCGCACAACAACAAATACAGTGAGCTCCCTCTAAGTCGACACTGCTCGGGACCGGTGAAAACTGTCGGTTTAGGGGGTTGTCGGATTAGAGGAGGTATTAGGCACTCAATCCAAAATTCAACCACACAGACAAAACTAAACAAACACAGTGGAATGATGATCTCAGTGTCAATGTCAATGTCAATGTCAATGTCAGTGTCAGTGTCAGTGTCAGTGTCAATGTCAGTGTCAGTGTCAGTGTCAGTGTCAGTGTCAATGAATCATAACAAGCACTTAACAGGTGAATTCACCAATCTATGAATCCATTGAACAAATAATTAGCAAGTAATGGGGTCGAAGTGTCGTAAAAGGATTGTCCCTTTGTGATTGCATAATAGTATTATAGTACATTACAGACAACTGGAATTCTATTGCTTTAATTGTATTGTTTTAATGTCTGGCTAGCATTGTTTATAACTACCAGTGGCTGAAGTGATGGTGGCCTAGCTTTGATTGTTGGTGGTCCATAGCCGATATTTTAATGTTAATATATGTCATATCGAGTTGCATTTTTAGAACTAGAAATGATTAGTTTTTAGACTTGCATTCTGTGATACGTTGCTAAAGCTTTACTGTCCTTCGCGACAGATATTTATCAGATACTACCTTTGTTCCTGTCACTATATGGCTGACATATTGCCGGTGTGACGTTAAATTGTAACTCACTCACTCTCTTCTCGCCCAAGCGCGTTTAATTGCTAAATACAAACCATGTGTTGGCTGATGCAATTACAATGTCGGTTTAGAGAGTGTCAATTTTCACTAAAAACATGTTTGGGGACAGGATTTGAGTGTCGGAATTCGAAATAAACAGACCGATGTCTAATTAGAGGGAGTTTCTTATATGATATTATACAGGGACAACTTTGGGACCAAATAAACAATACGCTAACCAGGATTTAAACCCAGGATCACAGGTTCCTGACACGTCCAAGGGAAGTTACTCAGGACCACCCTTAAAATGAAATGATGCAATTTGGAGATTCATACCTGTCCCTGCTGGCGAATTTGCTTGAGTGGTCCAGCATTGTTTGTTTCTGAATGAAGGACCCAAGATGGTGATCGGTTCTGAAAGAAAGAACGAGTTTATATGTTGAAGAGTCAAAATATAAATATATATTGGACAGAGATACATTTTATGTCACTATTTCTTGAGGATCTGGGCCACGATCCACAAAATGAGTGACTTTGTTTTACGCCGTACTCAGAAATATTCCAGCTGTATGGCGGCGATCTGTAAATAATCGAGTCTGGACCACACAATCCAGTGATCAACAGCATGAACATCGATCTACGCAATTGGGATATGATGACATGTGCCAACCAAGTCAGCGAGCCTGACCACCCGATCCCGTTAGTCGCCTCTGAACAAGCATGGGTTCTTCTCATCTGAATCTAAACAAATATTGGAACGTACGAAACCCAAGCAGGTTCTAAAAACAATATCTCAAAGAATGACGCCAGTTACATTTTCAGGCAAATTACTGCAAAGAGGGTTAAAATCTTGTAACATAACACACAACGCAATACAAGATTTCTCATTTCCCATTATACTGTCACTAGTGAGTGAGTGAATTTAGTTTTACGCCTCGTTTAGCAATATTCCAGCAATATCACGGCGGGGGACACCAGAAATGGGCTTCACACATTGTACCCATGTGGGGAATCGAACCCGGGTCTTCGGTGCGACGAGCAAACGTTTTAACCACAAGGCTACCCAACCGCATAAGTACTGTCAATAACTTGATCAAAGTCAATATGAAAAGCTCTGTGAATATAAAGAAGGCCTGGGGCTCCTTTCACAAAGCAACCTTTAGTAATGCTAACCTTAACTCCCATTCTTTAACACTGCACTAAGGTTACCTTAGTGACTTACGATCACCTTAGTGATTTGTGAAAGGAGGCCTTGGTGGTTAGAGTCGACCAGTCACCATTGTTCACCTGAAATCGGTTTTCACGTGTCGAATGCCACTGAACGATCACTCGGCAACAGGCATCATGACAAGTGTTTGGACCACAACATGGATATTATTTACAGATCTTCCGTTGCAAAGTCCAATGTTTTACAAAGCACGAGGTCTTCTTATCTGCAGGAGACCGCTTCCGTGGTGTAGTGGTTAGAGCGTCCGCCAGGAGAGCGGAAGGTCGCGGGTTCAATCCCCGACCGCGTCATACCAACAGACGTTAAAATATGGTACTTGTTGGTCCCTGCCTGGCGCTCGGCATTAATGGGTACAACAAGGACTGGTCGGCTCGGAGTCAGTATAATGTGTCTGAGTGGGTTATTCATGCTTCACTGCGGCATGGTATCTCAGTGGTCTAGCACTATAAAACCAGCTTCAGTCTCGCCTAGTACAAGCAGCCGCACGTACACATACACACGTATGCACGTCGTCATATGAGCGAAATATTCTCAAGCACGACGTTAAACCCAATTTCACCCCACCTCACCTGCAGGGGCGTCATGTTGACTTGCTTTTCATATACTGATATAAACGGGGACGGTGGGATTGCTCCGTTAGTCGCCTACTACGACAAGCATGGGTTGCTGGAGACCAATTCTAACCCAGATGTTCACTGGTTGAGTAACAACAAGACCAATGATGACATCAAACGATTGAATAGAACATAGGGCTATAACTCTCGAGACATCATACTGTTCAAGGTCAGTCAGACGCTTGACTTTTTGAACGGTGTCAGCGTCTTTACTTTGAAGAATAGGATTCACCTGATGAAGGAGTAGAAATATACTCCGAAACGTCGTATTCCTCAAAGTAAAGAGTGAGTGAGTGAGTTGGGTTTTACGCCGCACTCACCAATATTCCACCTATATGGCGGCGGTCTGTAAATAATAGAATCTGGACCAGACAATCCAGTGATCAACAGCATCAGCATCGATCTGCACAATTGGGAACCGATGACATGTGTCAACCAAGTCAGCGAGCCTGACCACCCGATCCCGTTAATCGCCTGTTACGACAAGCATGGGTACTAAAGGCAAATATTCTAACCCGGACCTTCACGGGTCTCAAAGTAAAGAGGTTTACATACATACATAATTATTCAGACATCACATGATTATGCTTTGAAAGTGGGCAAAGAATCTGAACAAGGTGATCCTGTTGACATCCCATAATGTCCTTGGCTTCTGTGATTGGATATCTGGGTTTCGATCCACAAAGCATTCATAGAGCTACGCCATTCGTAAGCTTATGGTAAACTATAGAGTGACGACAGATCTTAACATTACGAACGCTTTGTGGATTGGGACCCGGCTTTAGAAAAAAGCCAAAAGGCACTTTGATGAATATGAGAATCCGAAGGCTATATTTTGAACAATTGACATGATCACTTTGACTGATCTGATGAAACAGCTATGAACTGGGACCAAATTCAAGCGATAACACTTACAATGAGCATAGAAAACCTCGAAGATGCTGATGTCGATAGATGGCTTGAACGCCATTCAAGTGACCGCTCATATTTGAGTCATCAAATCCTTGACCCCTATTGTAGTCTTTGATAATTCCATATTTCTGCCTTGTCTAATTCCGATAGAAACGACCGACAATATATAATTACCAGGCATTGTACTCGCGGCTTCTATGAACTCAAACTCTACGTACTGTCAATATAAAAATAAACGCAACCCCTGTCCTCAGATATGAAAAAATTCGTTTGAATGAAGTTATTGCTTCCAAACTAAATTTTATTCGAATGTATTGAAATGATACACGTAATTAATGAAGATTACCATCCAAACAACTGCATTTGTACGCATAAGTGTATTTTATTGCTTATTCCGTCACAACGCATGAAATGACCCTCATGGTGACTTCTGCACAAAAAACACATGCAAATCATGAAAATGGCAGTTAATGTAGGGGTGTATAAAAGCCCATGTGCTTCCGTATTATATTCATTCATTTGTCGCCGAAAAGCTGTGTTAAAATGCCACGATTGAGTGCTGCCGACCGAAATATCGCCATTGGTCGTGTTCAAGCCGGAGAAAGTTTTGGAACTGTTGCACGGCACCTAAATGTTCACAAAACAACGATATCCCGACTTTGGAGCCGCTACAACAACTTCAATTTGACCAACGATCGCCCGAGAAGTGGAAGGCCAAGAATCACGACCCCCCTTCAAGATCGGTACATCCGGGTCCATCACCTGCGTAATCGGCATGCCCTACCAACCGTGACTGCCACACAAATACCAGGTTTGAGGAGAGTGTCAGCTCAAACGATTAGGAACCGTCTGAAAGAAGCGGGTTTACGTGCCTGTAGACCAGTTGTTGGACCTGTACTACGCCCCCTACATCGACGCCGACGACTCAGGTGGTGCAACAACGTAAGGATACGGACTTTACAAAACTGGAGGCGAATCTGGTTTTCTGATGAATCACGTTTTCTTTTGCAACGTCACGACGGAAGACAGCGTCTGTATAGGAGACGTCATAAACGTTTTGCGCCCATCTGCGTCCGACAGGTGGACAGATTTGGCGGAGAAAGCGTCATGGTTTGGGGAACCATCTCATACAACCAGAAATCAGACTTGGTGATCGTTCCAGGGAACCTGACAGCCCAACGTTACATCAACCACGTGTTAGAGCTTCACCTTCTCCCGATTATTGACCAACAGACACAGATTTTTCAACGGACAACGCCCGGCCTCATACTGCACGTGCAACAATGAACTTTCTGCAGAATTCCAACGTCAATGTCTTGCCATGACCCTCTAAATCACCAGACCTCAACCCTATTGAACACCTGTGGATACTCTGATCGACGCGTACGTCAACGTCAGCCGCCGCCACAGACGCTGCAACAGCTCGCCGTTGCACTGCAGGAGGAGTGGAGAGCCATTCCCAGGAAAGAATCCGGCGTCTTATCCGTTCTTGTCCAAGGAGATGCCGTGCAGTGATTGCAGCGCGTGGTGCTCATACGAGATACTGAGAAAGACGCCCCTGGTGACAAACTGGTGTCTGTGAGATGACTTTGAAATGACAATTTTAAACATGCCCATCTGGGTTATTATTCTGCCAAATTTCAGACTTCTGTCTTAAATAATAAAATGCCGTGTCGTCCTAAAACTTCAGATCAAAATCTCTAAAATACAGGGGTTGCGTTTCTTTTTTGACAGAGTTTATAATGCATGATTTTACGCTAGAGATATGGCTGAAATACTGCCGATGTGACTTTTCAATTTTAACTCAGTGTAGTGTGTCTGAATATGGCCTTAGGACTGTGTACATTACATGTAAGAGGCGACTAACGGGATCGGGTGGTCAGGCTCGGTGACTTGGTGGACACATGTCATCGGCCTTTGTTCACCACTGTACCTTTCAATCCCTCGAAACAAGCACCTCACAAGATTTGCCAACAACGCAGACCCCGTTGCGTAGAACGATGCTCATGATGTTGATCACTGGATTGTCTGGTCCGGACTCTATTATTTACAGAGCGCAGCGTAAAAATAAACTCACCCACTCAATTACCTGTTTTTGATGGGTCCTCCCCTTGGTGTGTTCAGTGAAGGTTTCAGCTGGGCGGACGTTCTTTCTGCATATCCAGGCTGTGATAGGGAGTGATTTGAAATTTTAATCTCTATTCTTTCATAAATACAAACATTCCAATTAGCTCAATTTCAATTTTGTACGTCAAAATACAAAAACCGCCTATTCGAAACTGGCTATTATTAGTTTTAACTTCCACATCTCCAACTTGTTGAAGGGGTTAATGTAAAGTTTGAATGATTGTAAAGGGGTTAATGTAAAGTTTGAATGATTGTAAAGGGGTTAATGTAAAGTATAAATGATTGTGAATGGGGTTAGTGTAATATGTGAATGATTGCGAAGGGGTTTTGTTATGCCTAATTGATTGCAAAGGGGTTAATGTAATATATGAATGATTGTGGGGGTTTTTGGTTATGTCTAATTGATTGTACAGGGGTATGTGATGTCTGACGGATTGTGAAGGGGTAACGGGTTAATGTAAATCCCGAGTGATTGTGAAGCGGACAATGAACTACTGAAGGGATTAGCCTATTCACACAAGCCCAATATACTCATCCCAAAATACCCTGTGTCGTATTACACGTGACGCAAAAAAGCTTGACACCATTCGTGACATATTCATTATTGACTGGATTTGAATTTCTGGGGAGGGGTGGGGTTGGCCCAATCCGTGTGTGAAATACGCATTTTGTCAGAAAGCTCTGCTGCCCACATGAGGTGACCAAGGTTTGAGGTGTTTAAAATGAAGCTACATGACTAATATCAATGTTAGAGCATGACGGCAATCACATATTGGTAGCTATAAAGCTATGGCCGTTATTAAAAGTTGCCCGACGCTGCTTCCCTAAAAATAGATATGTAATTAGTTGTTGGGTAATGTTATGTGTAATCCAATATGGCTGCACTTCCTGTTTACACCGTTGCTACAGAGGATGATGTCATTGATGACCTCAAAGATCACTACAAGCTGTAAAAGTGGTAATTATTCATTAAAACGGGTTAACAACGTTCCAGAAATATTATGTTACATGAAAAGCAATCCAAATTCATTCATTATTTTGATCCAAATGGCATTATAAATTTTCCAACGTCAAGACATGTTTAGCACCAAAGGCTTCATGCACTGTCTAATTCTTTGAAAAACAACATGTAAAAATGTTCACACATTTATAGTTAATGTCTAACACTTGTTAGATAATTATAACCAAATTGAATGATTTTTGTAATATATTTGCATATATAGACGCACCAAAACTGTCAATCGAATGTCATAGATACTATTCACCTTCAACTTCTCACATATATTTTTTCAAAGCAACATGTGTGGTGGTTCATAAACTTTTTAAAGCATGATTCTGTCAATTCAAATTCAACAAATCTGAAAATGATAAATGATTTAATTGTACCATTTAATTGTTCATTTATTCAGACGTACTCTCATCATTGTAAATATAACTTTTTGAACATCAAATATATCCTTATTTTTCCCTTCTCCAGAAAATTATGTCTGGCACTTTCTTGTACTTATTGATATTAATTTGTAATGTTTATGATGCAAAGAAATCGTATATCTTAAAAGTTATTGTAGGGGAATAATGTATAAGAATGAAAAATTCATGAAACTTCACTAGCCAGTCGGGCCAGTGACTGTGGAGATGTACTGGCCCGACTGGATTTTTACTAGCCACGGGCTAGCGGGCCAGTGGGTATTTCGCACACTGAGTTACATGTGATTACCCTTCAGCATATATGACAAAAATACACTTGCAAGGATAATGGACACTGACGTAAGTGTATTTCTACAACATTTCAAAACATACACAAACGAGGCTAGTAATACGAAATGCCATTTAGAAAGTGGTCAAATGTAACATATTATATATTTGGGATTACAGTGGCTCAGTGGGTTAGGCGGATGGCTTTGAGTGAGTGAGTTTGTGAGTGAGAATGGTTTTACGCCGCTTTTAGCAATATTCCAGCAATATCACGGCGGGGACACCAGAATGGGCTTCACACATTTTACCCATGTGGGGAATTGAACCCGGGTCTTCGGTGTGACAAGCCAACGCTTTAACCACTACGCTACCCCACCATCCCGGCTTTGTGTGCTGTCGATTAGGTGCCTGACTCTGAGGGTGTGGGTTCGAATCCCAACAAAATTACGTCACTGAGAAAGTGTAATTCCAAATATAACACATGTTCCAAACTAGGCTTACATATAAATGTAACCAAATGATTAAGTATACTTAAAATCACTGGATTATTTGGTCCAGACGTTATTATTTACAGACCGCATCCAGTTGAAATATTACGGAATGTAGCATTAAATAAAAAACAAACAAACAAAGATAATATACTTGGAAATGAGATCATTTCTATGAATAGCAATACTTTTACAAACGTCAAGAAATCAGCTTTTATGTGCCATAAGCCCTGATACCCGTTAAAATTGGTCTTCAGTAACCCATGCTTGTCGTAAGAGGCAACTACTAGTAACGGGATCGGGTGGTCAGACTCGCTGGCTTGGCTGACACATGCCATCATATCCCAATTGCGTAGATTGATGCTCATCACTGAATTGTCTGGTCCAGACGCGATTATTTACAGACCCCCGACATATAGCTCGAATATTACTGAGCGAGGCGTAAAACTAAACTCACTCACTCACTTTAAGATGGTTAAACTTCAAAATGTTTTCGTTTGTTATCAAATTAATGAAGATGGAAATATTATCGAGTAAAAAAGATTTCCTCTTTGTTGATCAAGCTATACTTATACTATCAATTGCGCATGCGGGTAGCGCAGCAGAGGTCACGAACCACTCAAGAGTTATGGGATATCATCCGGGTATGCTATCATAAAATGACATCTCTATTAGTATTGGGAATTGGTAAAAATTACACAATTTATCATTGGTTCATTACCACCGTTCAATCATCGAAAATAATTGGGTTGTGTCATTAATCAAATCTTCCTGTTATGTTTGTTAATACACAATATAATAAAGAAAAAATCTCTTCGAGGGTTTTCTGCTTGTTTGGGGTGTTTTTGTGTGTGTTTTGTTTGTTTGTTTTTTTTTTGTTGGGGGTGTTTTGTTTTTGGGGGTTTTTTGTTGTTTGTTTGGGGTTTTAGGGGAGTTGGGGTGTGTGTGTTGTTGTTGTTGCAAATTTTTAATCTTTAAGATAAATTCAATTATAAGTTGGAACGAGCTCGTGATGCTGATGTATTCGTTGGTTTGGCAGTACTTTTTAACTCGCTGTGCGCATGCGCAGAACGTGTGAAAAATATTCACTGACAGGCTTCCAATTTGGTCGTATGTTTATCGATAATGTAAGTGCACTCTAAATAAAAGCTGCTATGAAAATTAAATACGTTGTGACAAACTGTTCAACAAATGTTCCAGAATTGCTCGATTATGAAAAGACATGATCAATTTCTTGGTCGTTTAGTCACAGCGACAATGTACGTAGCGCCATGAGCAGACAATGTGCCTGGATATGTGCGCCATATACGTGGACTATTACTTTCACCAATCTTTGATTATTTCAATTCAATTATACGATAGACAACAACGCAATTAAAACGGGTTGTAGATCGCCAACAACTGAAGGTAGATCACCATACTAGGGACCATGGGGGCATACAGTACCTTTGCTACCTGCATGGAACCAATCATACCCTCAGGTCACGGTGTTGGTGATTTGTTAGCAAATTATACATACATTAAAATAACAAGAATTCTACGCTTAAAACTCTGCAATGATAAATCTACATTGAATCCTCACGTGCCCTCTGCGGAGGACAATTGTTCTACGCTACTTTAACCCCCTTTGAGGGTACAGCCACTAACAATCACAGGTATTTAGGACTTACAACTTAAGACATTGTAACCAACATTGTTATTTGCGGTAGTGTACCAAATAAATATTGAGTCGATATCATAAAGTACTTTTCCCATCCGGTTCAGTGTTGGAAGAAGTGTGAAGCAACATACCTTTTATTAAAAAAATGATAATCCAGGAAAGGATAGTAACGAAAGGTGTCTGCATGCTATTAGCAATGGCCGTGACCTTTTCAATAACTCAAGAGCAGATAATTTAGTTTATACGTAAGATGCATATGATGTCATGCCTAATGTTTTTAATGTTGTAACATCGCAGTGCTCAACATACATTTCTTTCCGGTCACATTCGTGTCAGTGACTTTGTCTTATATATATATGCTGGGTGATTTGAAATTTGTGTTACAAAAGAATTTCACATTTAGAAAAAGTAATTATCAACGCAATGGGGTTAAATAATCAACATACTGTGAATAAGTATTTAACAACTGCTCTCTCGAAATATTATTTATAATGCGTATTTCCCTGTCATACATTCTTCACAACACTCCCCCGTAGCCATGTCACATTTTCTTATGGTAACAAAACCAATACTCCCGGTTTAGTTTAGATTTTACTCCCCAAAATCCCCCGAACAGATGCGTATAAAACAATGTTTATTGACAACCATTGCAAGATCATACATATAGGTGCTATATCATAAGGAAATATTTGTTATATTTTATATTTTAATTTTCGTAATTATCATGTCGCTAAATCTAGACCAAAATTTCTATTCGTATTTCAATTGTTTCCTAGAACATGGGTAGGTATTTCTGTGGTTGTAATACTACAATCTCACTTCCTAAATCACAACAGTTTGTAGTAAAATATATGCAATCTTTCTTCATATATCTGTGGGTTCTTTTTCACGACAATTCTGCAAGGTACGATTGAGGGAGGTTGCTGCACATTACTCTGGCTGTCAATTTTTTTTTCAATTTCTTTATTCTCATAAACCACCTTGGTGGTACAAGAGCATATATTGTAAACATATATACAAATACAAATCAAATTCAAGATGGCAGTTAACAACATTTTTTTCTGACAAGAGATGATAGATGTAGGATATATTTTGATAGATTTACTATGTCTCGAGATGTTTTTACAGATAATATTTTCGTGAACTTTGTTTCATTGGGAAAAGAGGTCAAGTGGGAGGGTAAATA